TCTGTCCAAGTATACACAATACATAATCAAATATTTGACAGATTAAACACGTCGCGTGTCACCTGTCTTTTAGACCAGGTTTTTTCCAAACTGGGGCTTGTGAGTTGATGAAAAGCTAAAATTGAATAAATCAATCATATCAAATCTAAAATGAAAATAAATAATTTAAAAACAAAAACAACTAAAATAATACACATACTAACATGTATTTTATTGGAATTAATTATAATTCATTCATTCATTATAAAATTATTTGTTGTTTTAATTCCATGTTGTGACCATTAACTGACATGTGAAATATAAACTTCAAATCTGTCATCTCAGGTACTTCAAGTAAATATGTTCCAGAGCAAGTGCACAGATATTGAGGCCAACTCATAACACCCAACCTTATAACAACCAGACTGGTGGGATTTTAGTCATACTTAAGAACTTGCATTACATTGAAAAAAAATATATATATATATATATATATATATACAGTATGTATATAGCTTTTATCTGACTGAAATCTATGAATGTGCATGTAAGCTCAAACTACACTGACAAAAATTAAATAATCATATCATTTATTTGAAGTGTCATTTTTTGAAGTCATTTTTAAAAGTGTATTCTTTTAATAAAAAAAACAAATAGTATTTTTGTGTTGATGTGCAGAAATTATTGTGGGCTGTATACATTTTTCTGTTTTTTTTTACATTTTCAAATAACATCACATTAAACAACATTTTAAGCTGTCTTTATATGTAAACAAAATTAAAAATTGACTTACAAAATCTTTAAGTGATAATTATACTTTCATATTTTAGCTAATTTAGCTTTTGTTTATGGTGAAATCAAGTTGTAAAAATAAAAAAAAAGATATGTTATTTTTTCACTTTGTGTTTAAACAGAGAATTTCAACTGCTTTATTTGAACAATATATCAATTTTTGTGAAAAACAAAGGCAGTCTGCATTGAAACTCCTGAGTTTAGCATGTTATTTACCCCTGCTTTAGCAGCAGCTCCTCTCTGACACAGCCACTCTCAGGTTTCCGCTGTGCATCAGGCGCTTTGTTCTCTAGCCACACCCAGTGTTAATTCAGGTGAGCTCTGCTTGTGTGCACTGGCTGTTTGAGCATATGGAGAGGCCTGTGTGTGTGTTGTATGTGACACATGGAGGGCGACACCTGAGAGTGTGTTTCAGGGTAAGCATCATACGGCCTCTGATTTGTCCGCAGCTCCCTGAGGGTCTCTGCCAGTACGAGCCACTACCAAAATATTAGATAATTGTTTATCTAATAATATTCTTTGGTTGAGCTACTGTCTTTTTATAACAAATGTCAGGTGTGCGTTTACAAACTCAGTGGTACAGTGAGTCATCATATGCGTAACGTAGTTTCTTAACTAGGCCAAGGCTCCACCAAATTGCGTAAGTTCTCATATTGTTTGTAATACATCAAACTGCGGTTGAATGATCAGCCTCGGGCATTGGTAGGGATTGCGAGAATATTGCTCAATTGTACCTTGTATGCAATTGATTGAATCAGAGTGCAGAATGCTGCATGAAGCTGGAGTGCTTATTGGTTTCTCAAATGAGGCACTTTATCATTTTATCTGTGTGCACCTCAACCGTGCCATCATGAAAAATGTAAGCTCATCCATACGTTTACAGGCCGTGTGTGATTCTTAAATTGTCTGTGACATGAACAGATCCACGTTCTGCACTACACCGAGACGATTTATAGCTACTTTAGCCAACAGCGGCATTGATTTACTTGGATTTTGTTCTGCCAAAAATCTGTAAATGCATTATTGACTGACGTGCTTGTTCCTCAAAGAGCCAAACGTGGCCTTTAATGTTGCTAGCTGAGCACGGTGGCTTAAAGATATACAGTATGCCTTCTGTGTTTAACGGTAGCCATTTGCTTTGGCATTGTTTTTCGCGAACGACATTTCCACCTGGGTTCACAGACATGGAGGGATTTTCATATGGCTGCTTTCCACCAATCCAATCTGTTAGGGCAGCTCAGCTCTTAGATAAGGCAATGAAAACAGGCTCTGATGTAAGGCTATGAAGCCATTTACAGTCCTCTATCATGCCAGGATCCTTCGCTAAGGCTTCCTGGATACACAGAGCTAATGTTTAACAAGGAGCTTGTGAAACCCTTCTGGCAGATGACCCATGACGGTGAATGAATCACTGCTGTGACTGCACTCAGGTGCTGGAGCTCAGTGCCTAGCCGAAGGGGCAGACTGGCTCCTCCAGGGCTAGCTGTATTTGCATAGATAAGCCTTCCCTTTTGATGCTTAATAGTTCGGTATTGAAGGAACAGACACCATTCGCGAGGATGAGAAGCGGCAGATAAGATTACAAAGCCTTGGAAAGCAGACGGGATGCTGATATTACAGATATAACGGGGGAAAGGGAAGCGCTGCACTTAAGCAGAAGTCATTATTCACTAGTAATTAAACTTTAGGGGCTTCAAGGAGGCTATTTTATGTAAGTTGTACTTTTATAGTGTTACGTTAACGTGATCGAAGAGAAGCCTGTGAATCTTAAAAAGGACCTAATGCATTGCTGTCGACATTTAAAGGAACACTCCACTATTTTTGAAAATAGGCTCATTTTCCATCTCCCCTAGAGTTAAACAGTTGAGTTTTACTGTTTTCGAATCCATTCAGCCGATCTCCGGGTCTGGCGGTAGCACTTTTAGCTGTAGCTTAGCATAGATCATTGATTCTGATTAGACCGTTAGCATCTCGCTCAAAAAAGACCAAAGAGTTTCTATATTTTTCCTATTTAAAACATGACTCTTCTGTAGTTACATCGTGTACTAAGAAAAAAGTTGCGATTTTCTAGGCCGATATGGCTAGGAACTATACTCTCATTCCGGCATAATAATCAAGCTGAATGTATTCGAAAACAGTAAAACTCAACTGTTTAACTCTAGGGGAGTTGGAAAATGAGCCTATTTTCAAAAATAGTGGAGTGTTCCTTTAAAAAGGCGTGAATGGCATGAACAGAAAACACATATATTGTGAAGGACAATTATGACTTTTGGTCATGACTTTTTTATGTTTTTGAAAGAAGTCTCTTATGCTCACCAAGGCTGCATTTATTTGATCAAAAATACAGTAAAAACAGTAATATTGTGAAATATTACTACAGTTATTAAAGTAGCTGTTGTCTATTTTGATATATTTTAAAAAGTAATTCATAAATCCGTTTTTAACTCCAGTCTTCAGTGTCACATGATCCCTCTGAAATCATTCTAATATGCTGATTTGGTGCTCAAGACACATTTCTTCTTATTATTATCAATTCTGACAACAATAGTGTTGCTAAATATTTGAGTGGAAGCTGCAATACACTACTATTCAAAAGTTTGAGGTATGTAAGATTTAAAAGAAGAAGAAGAAGACGAAAAAGAAGAAATTAATTACATTAATTCAGAAAGGACACTTTAAATTAATCAAAAGTGAAAGTAAAGCCATTAATAATGATATCAAAGATTTCAAATGCAAATAAATGCTTTTCTTCAAAGCTTTTTATTCAACAAAGAATTCTGAAAAGAGTCACATTTTCCACATAAATACTATGTGGTTAACATTGATGAAAATAATAAGAAACAGTATTATTAATTCAGCACTAATAATAATTAAGCACAATTGAGCATCATACGACACTGAAAATTGCAGTAATGACAAAATTCAGCTTTACTATCACAGAAATAAATTATAAAATCAAATATTTAAATATATGATTGTATTTATATATATTTGAATATATAAAAACATAATTTTACTTTAATTAATATATTCAAATAGAAAACATTTTAAAACATATTTCACAATAATGCTGTTTTTATTGTTATTTGTATAAATAAATGTATCAAATAATGTTTCCAATAAATGCAGCCTTGGTGAGCTTAAGAGACTTCTTTCAAATACATTCGAAAATCTTAATTCTTCCAGACTTTTAGTGCACAATGGATGTCGCCCCTTTAAGAAAAGTGGGGAATATATTTGGACTACTTTCTGTCTGTAAAAGTAGCCTAATTTCAGTATCGGGTGAGTACTGGAAAAAGTGGTATCGGTGCATCCCTAGTTATTTGTATAAATAAATGTATCAAATAATGTTTCCAATAAATGCAGCCTTGGTGAGCTTAAGAGACTTCTTTCAAATACATTCGAAAATCTTAATTCTTCCAGACTTTTAGTGCACAATGGATGTCGCCCCTTTAAGAAAAGTGGGGAATATATTTGGACTACTTTCTGTCTGTAAAAGTAGCCTAATTTCAGCTTATTACAGTAAGCTTGGTCTGAGGTGTGCATGATGAGTACGTTTGTTGCAAAATTTTTGGCAGTGTCATGTTGTTATGCTGATAACTTACAGAGTTAATTTATTTTAAGTTAATCTTTTGAAAAATATAGTCTGTAATTTGTCTGTGGTCTTAGAGACGTGCTGTAATGGCACCAGTGCTTATAAGCATAAGCACCTATATTTGACTAAAATTAATTAAAAATGAAAATGTCCTCAAGCTTCCATTTTACTGAGTATGGCACATTAAACAATTTAAATGTGATGCATTTATTTATTTATATGTTTACAAAAGTCTGCCTCTCCGATTGGAGAATGGGCCACATGGGCCACATACTGTGATACATATTATATATTTTCTACAATGATTATACATGTAGAATAATGTTTTTAATTCTTTTAATATTATGAAATATTGTATTACACTTACTTAATCTAAATAAAGGCATGCCTACAATAAAGACAGCAAGGCATTAAAGTGCTATTATTGCATTGATCCGAATCAATAGGTTGCAAACAAATAGGTTAGAAAGTATAAACAAGCCAGTGCTGTTTCCTATTGGAGGACGGCTTGGACGTGTCCTGTGAGGTCATCCCCATGGATGTGGGAGAAGCTGCGGGATGACGCCACCCTCTGGCTCCGCCCTGCTGCAAACTCGACGCGGCTCGCGTTCATTTCATTCCTGCTCTCATTCCGAGCATTCTTCGCATCTCTATCGGTGCGGCGGAGATTCCCGTTCACATTCCCGGCCGGCCCCAAAACACAAGAATAACTTTACACAGTTTGCAAAAAAACTATACAAACCCACACAAGAACAAAACAAAGGGGCCGAACTTAAATGTTGATATAAATAAAGCGGACGTTAAGGTAAGTTTTAAGGTAATTAACGGCTTAAGAGCAAACGATTTTATGGATTAAGTTAAAGCAGACGAGCAAATACAAAACTGTTTTGCGCGGTTATCACTATTGATAGGCATGTATCAAGAGGGGTCGAACTCAAAGTATCTTTTTTCAGTGGGATTTAGTTCGACGCTGCTGCAGCAACAGGGTGCTTTCACTTTGTCCACTGACTCAGTCTGACATAGCACGAAAATCTTTGACATTTTTCACATTTTTGCTAAAGAAGCTGACCTCGCGCGCCCGTGCTCTGCAGTAAGTCCTGTACATTTACACCCAGAAACAATACGCGTCGTTTTGGGGGAACATTTTTGTTTTGGACATTGATTATTGCATGAAAAGAATTTTGGACAAGATGACGGATCCAAATGTTGCTGTTTTCTCCTCCATAGTTGGCTACGCCGCACATTTCGGAGCGGAGCTCAAATATAGCGCGGAGAGACTTGTTGCTCGCGTATCTTTGGCGTTTATTCACCAGCTTCGGTTCCCATCTCACCCGTAAGTACGCATTTGACTTTTCTTCTCTTTATTTATCTGACTCGCGTCAACTCTTGGCGTCTTTATTTAGTTAGCCTATATCACAGTGGTCGTCATACGCAGAATGACACGGAAAATACATCACATCCGTAAGCTTTAATATTTGTGTCTTTTATTTTTAAAACAACAACAGCAACACTGTACTCGCACTGAACTTTCCAGACTTAGTGACTCTGGAGAAACTTTACTTCACGCTTGTGCAATTGTAAAAGTAGGCTATCCAATTTGTTTGTCCAAAGCTGCTATACAGTTCTAGCAGTTGCTGACATTGTTTTAATGTATCAGCTTGTTTCAGAAAGATTACATGGGAGAATCTGGCTGCTATTCCTCTGTCATTTCCTTTGTTGGGATTTGCCCGCCCTGTTTCTTATGGAGTAACGTCGTGCTTCGGCGCGTTGTATTTGGATTTTATAAACGACAATGCCAGTTAAAACACAGCTTGTCAGTTATTGTGTGTGTTTTAAAACCTCTTATTTAGGAACGAAACTATGAACGTAACGACAGTATAACAACGGGACGGCGTAGCTTAGCTTAGCACTTCATCAGTGACTAGGCTTTACCAACTCCACTAACTATCCAGGCTTTTACCTAATGGCGTATAGATTGTCATTCTACAATGTTTGACGTTTTTAACCATTTCACTGTCCTTTTTTGTGAATTCATTCATTGTGAAATCACACATGCCTCTGTTCCTCATTCACACCTCCAGCTGCTTAAACCCCCAAATAAAACGAGCTGTGAGTTTCACTTTTAGCTTATGAATTCTATATAATCAAGCTAATTATGATTCAGCCATTATACAACCGTACTGTTATTACTATTGTAATACAACTGTAACAGTATTAGTCACCATAAAGCTTGTGAAAGCTTCTTGAAATTAGAGCCCTAATGATTTATTACAGCTTTAACTGTAGAAGCATATTTTAGTGGAAACCATTACTAGAAAATGGTTGAGCAAATTTTACAGCACTAAAAATGTGCTAAGTAAATCAGTGATGCCCAAGTCACAAGGTCATTTTACTTTTTTGGACCAATTCAAATGTCATCTTTAATGAAAACTGAGTTCACAACATACTTACAAAATTGAGTAGAAATGACAGAAATGATTGTGAATGGATGGAAACAAACTGATTACAGCGCAGGTAGAAATAGCTAAAGGTATCAGCTACACTTTTTCACATTTTACAGTGTACAATAAAGAGCGTACAATAGCTGTTTTATTATGTATTTATTGTCTTTCTAATGCAAAAGCTTTAAAACCGCAGCCCCTTAGCCTATTCTGGACTTTAATACTTAACAGGAAACAAGTTCCTCTATTGTGTCTTTTTGGGAAAAGACCTCTTTTCTTGTAGTTAATTATTGTCTTATATTTCACATTGGCCCTTTTAGGGTCCGAGAGACACAATGTGTTGTTTGTGTCCTCTAACTGGGCCATTATCATGTACTACAGTAAACAGATTGACTTCTATCAGATGTAACCTCTGACATACAGTATCACAGTGATGAGAAGCAAATCTGCTTGTTGTGTAAAATTGGCGTAGCAATAAGTGCTTTGTGCTCAGTGTTATGCAGTGCACACAAAGACCTGTTGAACACACACGCTTGGTTGACATTTTCAAGTGAGAGAATGAAACGTTGTCTCACATTGAATCCATCACTTAATGTCAAACATCTGACTCTTGATCAGATGGTTCGAAAATAGAGGAACCTTATCAAAGTACTCATTAGCTACATATAAAAAAAAGAAACCGTACATTCTGAGTAGAAATATTTTTTGATGCTATGACTAAATAGTTTCAAACTTAACCTTTACTTAATGTGCTCTTTGTTAGTATATTGTTCATTTGTGTTAACCGGGTTGCCTGAGCGTAATGTTTATTGTAAGTTATGTGTTGTTAGTGTGTTACTAATATATTATTATTATTATTTATGAATGAGAAATCGATTGTCTATGAACAGCATATCACAAACAGTACTGCATCTTTCACATTTAGTGTAGATCTAAAATGTGAATTGAGTATGTGTTACATATAGTGGAGTTTTAAATAGTTACTTATTGCTCAAAACACAACCGAGAAAACTTAAAGGAGTTTTGAAGCTGATTTTCCTACTGTTTCCTTTTCAAATGAAGCTGTTTGTTTAGCTTCTAAAAGTAGCGAATTGCCCTTTTCAAAAATAGGGCTGCAATCTCTGTTAAGGAAAATCGCATGTCACTGACCATAAATAATGAATTTGAATCAGGAGGGAAGAAACATTAATTTCAATACTTTCTGTTTCAGTGGTGCTCTCCGGCGTGGCTCAGGAAGAAAGCAGTCTTTCAGTTGTGAAATGAGAAGAGAATAGGTGCATTGCTCAGACATAGTGGATTGAGTTACCTCTGGGAATGGAGGATTGTGGGGGAACGGGAGCGCACAGAGAGAACCTATTGTTTTTCCTGTTGCTGAGCCGGGGAGGAGTGTGTGTGAGGCCATTGAATTGTAGAAGGCAAACAGTGTTGTGCTCAAGCAGACATCTGGTTTAGACCCTTTCTGCACCTGTAAGAGAAAAAAATATGCAAATATGAACGTTTGCTCTCACGTTTACTGCTCAGGGAATCCAAGCTAATACTGTGCCCGTCATTTGTTGTCCATGCTATTGTTATGCCAGCAACAGGCGGCAGCGGCCGTCGCACCATATGGCCCATGTATGCTTCAAATACGTTATCTGTTGCTCACTTAGCTTATCAATGGCATTTTAAATCGCTTCATATTTGAGTCGCCAACTTTCTGTTGACTGCCATCGAATTGTTTGTAAGAAGTTTCTTTGAAAAGAATGAATGATCAAAAAGTCGAACCGAAGTCGGAGAATACGCTAGTCTTACTGACATCCTGCATGCTAAACAATAGCATTTCCTCGGTTTGTATTTTTTATGTTCCCGTGTGGGATGTTTGCTAACAGTCCGTTTTGAAATTTGTGTCCAAATGACGGATGGAAATCAGATGCAATAGGAATATGTAGTTTAATTCAATTCAAGTTTATTTGTATAGCGCTTTTTACGATACAAATCGTTGCAAAGCAACTTTACTGAAAATTAAGTTTCTACAATATTTAGTAGTAGCTTATCAGTGGTGACTGTCAGTTTATGTACATATGGCAGAAATGTACGGAAAAATCAATTGAAGTATATGCAAGTTCAATATGTTTTTAGTAGTACTACAATAAACTGTTCAATCAAAATCTACTTATGGTTTCCAAAAGCCTATAGTCGATCCACTTTTGTACTGACAAGACCCCCTGCTTGAAACATTGCATCATTCTAGTGAATCATTTAAAGAGTTGTTTTGAATAATGTCCAAATGAGCGGTTTCCTTGTATTAAAACCTGGCACATTAAAAACAAGCAATAGGTATTCAGAAATGCGCTCGGCCTCGCTAGGCGTATGTTCTCTCACATGTTGATGTTTTTATTGACTGCATGTGATTTATGTTCACTCGGTGGGCAGCGTGGAACAAATAGGTTTATAATGGCGATACACTATGAAATAGGGTTTACCTCAACAAGGCTACAACAGATATGAATGAACCGCACAAAAGTGCCTTTGCCACTTCTAGAAGCAGCTAACTCACTTTGCTGTGCTCTGTGGTCAGGGGTAATGTGAACTACTAAACTCTGCTGGGAGACAGACCAACACAAACAGCCACGTCCTGTGTGTTTTACTCTTCATAGGCATCATTTCCTATTAGAATCTATCTGTGGTGGTCGAACAGGAATTAAGATTATCGCCGGGAGGGGGAAAAAAATCAAAGCCATGGAAAATATGAGGTCCTTGGAAGGTCCTGCTTTTAATGATTTACATAATAGCAGGCGAACGTTAAGAAGGAATTCTGTATTCCGTAATATATTTAGTGAATACAAGGATGTTGTATTTTGCAGCAATATTCTTGTCTCTACTCACAAGTGCATTCTTCAAGTAATGGAAACAGCTGTTTTAAATAAAGAGCTGAACCGATCAGATGCCGTTATGTACAAACCCAAGTATTAGTCACTCTTTTCTGATTGATGAACTCAACAGATGTATTTATGATCTCTGGATGGACCCTCCGTTTTTGTTTGTAACACAATGCAATGTTTTGAAGAAAATGAATCACATATGTTGGACGGCGAAAAAAGGAAATGTGTCATAATGGTTGAATGTTGGTTATTAACATCAAATGTACCAAAGATTGACTCTTTAGCAGCTCGCTAGTCGCTACCGCAAGCATCAAAACCGCAGCTGCTACAGTGACATTTTTAAACTAATCAACGCCCATCATGTATTGTTCACTGTTCACTCAATGCACTTTCACACTAATGTTTAAATTGAGTTATGAATTTAGGGCCACTCTGTTTTTAATGTTTCAGTGCTGGAATTGTTTATATTCATTGACATGAACTGATTTAAGTTGCATTTGTGTAAAATAAACTGCCTTTGCCCGGTTCTCTCAGACTATACCTGGAAGTATTTTCAACAATCAGTCTGGTTTACTTTTCCATCAGTTTTATCACAAATACTTTGGCTGTTGTTCACATTCGTGTTTATAGGGAGCCGTATCTGTTATCAGCGAGAAGCGTAAAGTTAAACACCACCCCACTAAAAGAACCCATAAAGGCGAATATACCAAATATCACAATACTAAACACTACAATTTGAGTAACTGATACCAATATTTCATGTTTCTTAATAATTTGATACCACACAAAAATGAATGCTAATAAACACTTGTTAAATAATGTTAAATATTAATATAGCCCTAAATAAATTAAAATAACGCAACGTATAATAACAACGCAATTTTATATATAAAATGTGTATAAATTATTCTAAAAATTATAGTACATGCATTTCTGAAATTCTCAAAATAAACACATTTTTAAAGAAATTATTCAAGTAAACATTTAGTACTTTAAAACAACAAAATATACATATATTTTTAGAGTTGTTT